AGGCAAAGGATAAGCTTTCTTAATTGTTATTTAAAGACAAAATCACTACTATTAGTCCAGAATAAACAGTTAAACATATTCTAAAGATAAACTTAATTACTAAATAATAATTGCAGATTTAAAATGAATTGTAAAACTTTAATTATAAATTATATTGTACAAATGACATCGAATTATTGAATCTACAAAATCTACTTTCTGAACTTAGCAAATAAAAATTTAATTTCACGATTATTATATTTAGGATTTATTGTAAAAAAGTTAGTTAAAGCAAGCTTCAATTTATAAACGAATCTGTATTCATGAAGCAAGTTATCACAAATAAATACTATGATGGAAGCTATAAAAGATTGTAGAGTTTTAAAACAAACAAAACTAATATATATGTTGTAAATGGGAACAGAATTTAAGTAGATTTAGAATTCTTAGGATTTTTAAGGTTAGAGTATAGGTTTATATAATACTCTAAAATTGTAAGAATTTCTAAATCCACTTAAATTCCATTCTTATTTACAATATATATAAACTTCAAATTTCACGTTCGTCATGTTTAGGGATCATTATAAAAAGAAGTTGTTATAGTAAGCTTCAATATTAATTAGATTTTTAAACAAGTCTGCATTCATAAACCAAATTAACAATTCAATAGATGTTATAAAAATTTTAGAGTTGTAATATACAAATTAAATAATGAAAAGAAAAAGTCTGCTCTAATACAGCCCACTTTCATTATGATGAACTCTTGATAAATGAAGAGTTTTGAATTACGAAATAATTAAGTTTCATCAGAATGTATTTAATATAAGTTACATTAAAGAATTTTTTCAGCCTAAGGACTTCATATAATGTGAATAAGCTGTAATTGTTTGTTTATCATATTTTTTTTGTGTTTCTATATATGCAGCCATCTTTTTATTTATATCAAAATAAAAACGAATAGAAAAGAACTTTCAGTTCTTATAATAAATATTTTAAAAGTTCTTTATAAAAAGCAATTTACTATGTTTCTATACCAAACTTTATATTGAACTTTAATAACTTTGTTAAAAGAGTTTTTATAGAATAGATTCATTTTAAAAAGATTCAATTGACTGTTTACATTGTATAGATAAATAGATCAGGAGGTTGGATTATCAAGTGACTGTGTCCTCAATTGGTGATAATACTGGGTTTGCTATTAACCAATATCCATATTTGCTGTGGGAGAGACTTGACTAACATGAGAATGAATTAGCTCAGAGTTGCTAGCATAGGTTATATGAGATGAATATTTATTAGAGGATTTGGAATTTATAATAGGTTATTAAAGAATGTATTTATTTATTTAGACATTTGGTCTAGGCAAAGTATATATTAGTTTAAACATTGTATTTATACTTTTCAAATTCCAGTGGTCTGAGACCAAAATCTTGGGTTTCAAACCAATATCAGTAGTCTTGAACCAAGATCCATAATCTCAGACCAATATTAGTGGTCTTAGACCATGGTCTCAAACCATGATCTGTGATTCCAAACCCAGATCTTCTATACACAGCCACTCTATACAATAGTATTATCAAATATAGCAAGAAATACTAAAACAATATAAAAAAAATATATTACAAAGAAAATTTAAATACAATTTTTTGTAACATCTTCCTCCACTCAAAGGGTAAACTCCTGCGAACTAAATGACAAGACTGTGATCCTAAAAATTACAATACAACAAAATCTTTATTAAAAATAGAACTTCATTTAAAACTTTAATCCAAATCAAATTCTAGATATAGTATCCTTTGTTGTAATCACTACCTCTTTTGGTGTATTTGTGCATTACCAACCTTAGGCATACTTATATCATCTCTTTATTTTACTCAAATAAACTTTTAAAAATTTATTCTATTTCTAAACAAGAATTTTTTCATTTTACTTTTTGATACATCACTTATTCTTCACTAGGGTTGGACTTCATTTAGGAAGATTGATTTTCAGCAAAATTTATCAAAGATTAGATCATGTACTTCTTCTTTAGATATAATAGTTGTAATTATTCTTTGGCCTTGTTACATTCTTTAACTTGTTTCATAATAATCTTTCTTTTTTTTCATTTTCATTAGGCATCTTAAACCTTGTGCAAAACTGTTGTGATCATTCAGAATCATTGTTACATCTACTATAACTGAGCTTTAATTTTTTTTTTATATCTATTCACATCTTCTTTTTCTACTTGATAGGTCATCTTTAAATTAAGCTATTAAATCGGTCTCGCAAGGTGTTAGATTTCTTCTACCTTATTTTAAGATCATTTCAAGCTATATTCATCTAACATGTATCATGTGCTTTTTAACTTCATGCATAACTATCATAGCTGTTTTATGATACTTCAAGAAAAAGTAGTTATTTTTTTTCATTTGTTTTTTTTCAATTTTTTTTTTTTAGTAGTCAAGACAAGTATATAAATCTAATATACTGAAAAATTTGTATCAGTACAATATTAACTTTTTTTTGGTATTTTTAAGAAAACCTTTTATCATTTCATGCAATAATGAAGGCACGAAGTGGGATTTTCAATCTATACAATCAGCACCAAAATGTTACAACTATGGAGAAGACTTGGCTAATATAAAAACAAATTAGCTCAGCGTTGCAAGTATAGGTTATGTGAGATAAATATTTATTAGGAGATTTGGAATTAATAATAATAAATTATTAAAAAATGTATTTATTTATGAAAGAATATAAATAATACTGGGGCTATTAATAACTTACTCTAAATTAGAAATTTTTTTTTAGAGGATATATAGCTAATATTTTTGATTTTCTAATTAATTTACAAATATCATCTTATCGATAATATAAAAATTTTATATGATATGTTACTGTTTAATATTTCATTAGATGATATTTATGTTATATGTACCAATATTATATTTATTAAATTTAATTATTTCAAATAAATTCTATTTTGAAAAATAATTAAATGATAATTTATAATTAATATTCATTATCACTTTCACGATCTTTTCTTGGTTTTTTTACTTTCAGCACTCCTTCCTCTCCTCTTACTTTTTTTACACTGCCTGCTTTTTTTATCTGCATGCTTACTCTCATACTCATCTCCACCTTTACTCTCACTATTACTTCCCTCACCATCATCATCACTACCAACACTTTCACTTGATATATCTTTGTCAAATATTGTTGTAACATTAATAAGGAGGCCTTTTGTACCTTTTGAAGGTGATTTTACTTCTGTTTTTAATGATGTTACTGCTGTTTTAGTTTGTGTTATTGTTGCTGCTGTTGTTGCTGCTGTTGTTGGTGTTACTATTGGCGTTGCTATTGGTGTTGTTGTTGATGTTGCTGTTGGTGTTGCTGTTGGTGTTGCTGTTGATATTGCTGCTGCTATTGTTGCTGCTGTTGTTGTTGCTGTTGTAGTTTGTGCGAATGATGTTGTTACTGTAGTAATATTAAACCATGTAGCAGTGAGATCTCTAATGTTAGGTAGTGGTGAAGTATTACCATCCTTCTTTTTTCTTTTATATAATATAATTCTACCATCATCATCTCTTTCTTTCCTATCATCATTGTCTCTTTCTTTCTTATTATTGTCGTCTTTTTCTTTCCTTTTACTTCCCTTACTACTTTTTTCTGCATCCGCACTACCACTTTTTTTCACTTTTTTTTTCTTATATAGATCTTCATCTTCAGTGGAAAAGTCTGCGTCAAATTCTGGATCCGAAATGTTAAATAGGTTTAAAGCTTCTTCTGATAATGCCAATCTTGGGCAATCAGATAGTGGCATTCCAGTTATATTAACTTGCCCTTCATAATGCCATTTATGCATTCTATTGTTCTTTAGCTGCAGTTGTTCTACAAATGGATCAATATACTTATGGAATAGCCGTTTTAATTAAATAAGTAAGATGATAGTCTGTTAATATAATATTCATATCAGTATAGTTTAATAAAGAAGATAGATTAAATTAGCCAGCATTATAAATAATGCTGGCTAATTTTATCTCATAATACGATTTTTTACATAGTAAAAAATTAAAAACATGTATAAATAATATTTTAAAATTGATCAATATTATTTTTTTTTCAGCACCAGTAAAATATTTACTTATATTAGGGCCTTGCCACCATTTGTCAATACAAACTAACTTCTTAACCTTCTCACCATTCTTTGACTGATCCTTATCTGTCTTCCACTCCTCATCAAAATGATAGAGATTCCCTTCTTTGCTTCTTGTTAATTTCTCCAGATTATCCTATGAATATCTCCTAATGCTTTTATTTCCCGCCTTTATTAAATACATTAATGCTTTTCGTCTTCATTTCCTCTTCTATAATACAGTAATTTAAATTATTATATTTCACTTACAAATCATTTATCTGATAAATCAGTAAGAGATTACTGATATATTAGGTAAATAATTTGTGGGCTAAGAACAAATCATTTACCCAATATATTGGTAATCTCTTACCGATTTATCAGGTAAATGATTTGTTAGTCAAGTAACTCTAGAATTGATTTAAAAAATAATTTACATAACAAATTTTATTATGCTTACCTCATTCACCTTACTATTTTTCCCCATTCTGATGTAATTGTAGATCTTTAATTTTGGATCAGCATTTATTGTTGCTGTCCGACGCTGCGTCTTATGATGTTAGTTTAAAATTTTTTTAATCGCGCCAGAATGGTGCCAATATTCTGGTAATTTTTTTGTAATAGCCAGAATCAGCTTTTGCCTTACATTCTGCGATTGGCTAGCTCATTGTTTAGTCAAATCAGGCTTTAGGTCAGATAGCTTACTACCTTCTATTAATACTTTAATTTCATCCTTTGTAATAATAATTATAATAATATTAATAATAAAAGTAAATTAATTATAATAACATTAATAAAGTAAATTAATTATAATAACAATAATAATAATAAAAGTAAAAAATAGATGAACATACAAACGTGAGACAAATAATATTTACTCGTAAGTAAGACCTCTGCTTATCTGTCAATACTTTCGGTACATCTTCACTTGAACTGCTGCTACTGCTACTAGACCTGCTAGTACTGCTACTTGTGCTTCTACTAACTGACCTACCACTACCTCTACAACCTGATCTACCTTTCCTCTTACTAACCAATCTACCTCTTCTTCTTTTAACCAATTTATCTTCCATCTCACTTTTATCTTCACGACTAGTAGCTCCTGAGCTACTAGAGCTTAAGGGCGATGTTGATCTTGCTTTTCCTTTCCCCTTACTAAATACTGCTGCGACTGCTTAAACTACTGCTTGCGCAATGAAACTCGCATTCACTAAATAATAGATTATTGTTGTGTTAATGATATATTAAAGTTACCACCTTTTATAAACTTTACATT